CTCAGAACATCATTTTAAAATCAACTAACATCTGTCTTATATATTACGTCATTGTTGTGGTAGTTGTGTGTCTTTACGCATTTTCATGTCTCATAGAATCATCAACATTTAATTACTAATTTATGTTTGACATAGAAAATTTTGGTTGTGGTGATATAGTTTTCGTTTAATACTTTTCACATCCCCAGCCTCATCTCTTGTCATTCTCTGATTCAAATTTTATACTCCAGTCCCTCAAACTACTTGCATATCCATCCCACACCATGCTGCCATCTCCTCCGTGTCTGCGTATGCTGTTCCCTCTCCCTGGAATGTTTCCCCTTTCATCCTTCTTGCATCTACTCCTACCTTTCACCTTCGCCTGACTAACTACTGATCATTTTTAAGACTCAGTCAGTCTCCACCTTCTTCAGCCTTCCATGTGCACCCCTTTCGTCATCACTGATGGGTGCCACTCTTCTGCATCCCTGATTCCCTGAACATTTCATCATCAGCACACTTACCACCATCTTTTATAATCTCTTTATGGATCTGTCTCCACAACAGTCTCAGCTCTATGAGAGCAGGAAGTGCTTTATTCACTTGATCTTTGGCCTCTCCAGTACTCACCCAGAGATGCACTGACTACTGTTAAATAAATTAACCCCTGCTGCTCTTAAGAGTATCTACCCTTGTGACAGCCCCTACCCTTCCTTTACGGTATGACAGAGGATCAAACGTTTAAAGGCAAATATAAAAAGCCTCAAAAAATATATTAGCAAATTGAATCTAACAGTATTTAAAAAAGAGAAATGTGTCACTACCAAGTGGGGTTTACCCTAGGACTGCACTGTTGGTTCAACATGGGAAAACCAATAAATATAATTCAACATATTAACAGAATAAATAAGAAAAAACATATAACCATGTCAGTAGATGCAGAAAAATCATTTGAAAAAAATCAGCATCTATTCATGTTGAAAAACTAAGAATAGAAGGGAACTCCCTCAACCTGAAAAAGATTATCTACAAAAAATCTACAGCTAATATTACACTTACTGGTGAAAGACTGAATACTTTCCCCCTAAAATTGGGAGCAAGACAGGAATATCTGTTTTCACCATTCATATTCAACATTGTGCTGAAACATCTAGCTAATTTAGTAAGGCAAGAAAAAGAAGTAACACTGTCTATCTTAACATCAGATGCAGTTTTCTTTTGTGACAGAGAAAATCCCAAGGTATTTACAGAGAAAGCACTAAAACTAAAAGGGGAGTTTAGCAAGATAACAGGATATATGGTCAATATATGAAACCAATCAACTTTCTTTTTAGAGACATTTATACCATAGTTTCATTACACTGTTATTGATTATTTTGTATAGTTTTTGCAAACAAATACACTTGATGACTTTCAATCTTATCCCAAACTTCCTTGAAAAAATAATCAGAATTTATAAACAATACTATTTGTAATAACATCAAAAAACACAAAACTTAGGTATAAATCTGTGTAGATCTGTATGGTAAAAACTACAAGACACTGATGAAACAAATCAAAGACCTAAATAAATGGTTTGAAGACTCAATATTGTTAAGATGTCAATTACCTAAATTGATTTATAGATTCAAAGCAGTCCCAATCAAACTCCTGTCTGGACTTTTGGTAGAAATCGACAAACTGACTCTAAAGTTTCAGTGGAAAGGCAAAGGAACTAGACTAGCCAAAGTAATTTTGAAAAAGTTGGAGGAGTCATACTACCTGATTTCAAGATTGCTATAAAGCAGTTGTCCTCAACTGAGGATGATTTTCCCACCCAAGGGATGTTTGGCAGTATCTGGAAACATTTTTTATTGTCACATTTTGGTAGGGTAGAGATGCTCCTGCTACTGGCATCTTGTTGGTAGAGGCCAAGGATGCTGCTAGACATTCTGTAATTTACAGGGCAGCCTTAGCAGAGTTATTTGGCCCAATATATTAGAAATGTCACAGCAGAGAAACCCTTCTATAGATCTACAGTAGTAATCAAGACAGTGTGGTATTGGCACAAGGATAGAGACATTTGTCGATGGAAAAAAATAGAGAAGCCAGAAATAGACCTGCACACATATGATCAGTTGATTTTTGAATACAATTAAAAGACAATGCACTAAAAAAAGGATAGTCTTTCATCAAATAGTGATGGAAAAATTCAACATACATGTGGAAAATATAGATGTTGACCTATACTTTATAATATATTCAAAAATAACTCAATGAATAATAGGCTTAAATGTAAAATGTAAAACTATAAAATTTTTGGAAGAAAACATAGGACAAAGTCTTCGTGAACTTGAGTTAAATAAAGATTTCTTAGATATAATATACAAAGCACAATCCAGAAAATAACAACTTGATAAATTGAATTTTATCAAAATTAAAAACTTCTCTCTTCAAAAGACAATGTTAAACTCCAGAGACAAGCCACAAATGAAGAAAATTAAAAATCACAGGTCTGGTAAAGGACTTTTATGTAAAATATATAAAGAACTCTCAAAACCCAATAATAAGAAAATCAACAACCCAGTAGAGAAATAAGCAGAAGATTTGAATAGATACTTCACCAGAACTATAGAGATGACAAATAAGCACATGAACATCTACTCAACATCATTAGTGAAACCCCACTCAAATGGGCTTAAACCAGAAAGGTCAAATAAATTGTCTCCCATTAGGAAATTCCAGAGAGATTGACAGCAATCAGTCCAAATGTTTAATGATACAGTTGCTTTGGGAGGGAGGGGGAGCCCTCCACTCTGTAACTACGGCAGACAGGTGCCCCCTGCCTGTTGAGAAGATGGATGCCAGATCCAGTCAAGCTACATGCTGCTTCTTGCATGTCCACTCTGGTGAGAGAACTTCCATCCCCGAATTCCAAGCTGAGCTCCAAAAATTATCCTGATTGGCCTGTTTAGGTCACCTGTCCACCCATCATGAAGCAATGCCTGTGGCAGGGAAATAAATTTATGCTGATTACTTTAAACCTGACCCACATGCCCCAACCCTTCAGTCATGAATAATGTTAGCTTCCTCCAAAGTTTAAAGATTTTTTTAAAGTATATTTCATTGATTATGCCATTACAGTTGTCTCATTGTTTTCCTCCTCTTTACTCCCCTCTGCCTTCCATCCCCCTCCCTCCAGCATTCCCCACCCCCACCCTGCCATTAGTTCATGTGCATGGGATGTGCATGTAACTTCTTTGGCTTCTCCATCTCCTATACTATTCTTAACTCCCCCCTCCCATCTATTTTGTGCCTACCAATTATGCTTCTTATTCCAAGTACATTTTCCCCCCTTTTTCTCCCTCCCAACTGATAACCTTCCATGTGACCTCCATTTCTGTGATTCTAGTTCTTCTTCTGTGAAATCTCTTCTAATTGTTTGCTTACTTCGTTTTTGTTTTTGTTTTTGTTTTAGGGTCAGTTGTTGTGCATTTGTTGTCATTTTACTGTTCATAGTTTTGATCTTCTTTTTCTTAGATAAATCCCTTTAACATTTCATATAATAAGGGCTTGGTGATGATGAACTCCTCCAACTTTACCTTGTCTGGGAAGCACTTATCTGCCCTTCCATTCTAAATGGTAGCTTTGCTGGATAGAGTAATCTTGGATGTAGGTCCTTGCTTTCCATGACTTTGAAAACTTCTTTCCAGCCCCTTCTTGCCTGTAAGATTTCTTTTGAAAAATCAGCCGATAATCTTATGGGGACTTCTTTGTAGGTAACTGGCTCCTTTTCTCTTGCTGCTTTTAAGATTTCTCTCCTTATCTTTAATCTCGGGTAATAATTATGATGTATCTTGGTATGCTCCTCCTTGGGTCCAACTTCTTTGGGACTCTCTGAGCTTCCTGGACTTGTATGTCTATTTCCTTGGCCAGATTAGGGAAGTGTTCTTTCATATTTTTTCAAATAAGTTTTCAATTTCTTACTCTTTCTCTTCTCCTTCTGGCACCGCTATGATTCATGTGTTGGTACATTTAAAGTTGTCCTGTAGGTTCCTAAGCGTCTCCTCATTTTTCTGAATTCTTGTTTCTTTTTCCTGTTCTGGCTGAATGTTTATTTCTTCCTTCTGCTCCAAATCATTGATCTGAGTCCTGGTTTCCTTCCCTTTACTGTTGGTTCCCTATATATTTTCCTTTATTTCACTTTGTATAACCTTCACTTATTCCTTTATTTTGTGACTGTACTCAATCATTTCTGCATCCTGCATCATTTGAGCATCCTGATTACCAGTGTTTTGAACTCTGCATCTGATAGGCTGGCTATCTCCTCATTGCTTAGTTCCTTTTCTGGAGTTTTGGTCATTTCTTTCATTTGGGCCATATTTCTTTGTCTTGGCACACCTGTTATGTTATACAGGGTGGAGCCTTAGGTATTCACCAGGGCAAGGCAACCTACTGCATGGCATTGTGGTGGCCAGTGTGGGGGAGGGGCCAGAGAGGGAACAATGTGCTTGCTTGGCTCTTGCCCTGCTTTCAAGAGACAGCAGTTTCTCCCACTGCCACAACTGCCACAAGTGTTTACAGCCAGAAGTTCTGAGGCTTTATTTTGCTCATGCTGGAACCCTGGGTTGTGCGGTCTCTCATTACCCAGCTGTTCCTCCCAGTTTATCTCCACGCAAGTGTGGAACCACCCAGTCCACCAGCCACTGCCTTGCTCGGGATCCTCTCCATCCAGCTGCCTATCTCCACCCCTCCTACCAGTCTGGATGAATGTTTCTTCTTTAACTCCTCCTTGGTTGTCAGACTTCCATACAGTTCCATCATAAATAAAAATTAAATTAAAAAAAGAACATAGTGATAAGTTGTTACAAGCATGGAAATTGATGTTTAAAAAATATTTTTTTTAATTCCATATTTTTTAATTCCATATTTTGGAAATTTCCTCCTAACCATCTTAACCAGTTATGCATTCTGCAAGGAATGCAATGTCATGTTCCTTATATAACAGTCTTTTCTGGCTGATGGACTTCTTCTTTCATCAGGATGTGCTCACGGAGCTCCTAGAACAGTGTGCAGATGGACTCTGGAAGGCTGAACGCTATGAGCTGATTGCTGACATCTACAAACTTATCATCCCCATTTATGAGAAGCGGAGAGATTTTGAGGTACCTGAGTGGTTTTATTTTCCAGGTTAGAGGACGGTGGAGTGACATGTATCTGCAGACTTTCTTACATGCAAAGAGAGCAGACAGGCCACGGTCAGAGATGAACAAGTGGTCTCTGACCCTCCACTTGGTAATGGCTGTCACCACCCTCAGAGCCATCAGGCATTGCACACACAGGCCCCACCTCTACACAGACTCCAAATCTCAAACAATAAAGGTTGGTCGTTTGGGCACTCCACTTTTGAAAGGTTGCCAGGAACAGCTTTATAATCACCAGGTGCCTTTTTTTCTCATAACACTTTTTTGCTCTACTTGCATGGGAAAATGGTGTCCCTTCCAGTCTCCCTGAGCTGGGAGGTCATCCAGTTTCTTTGAGTATATCAAATGCAGTGGGAAAATCAAGGACTAAAAACGTCATAGTAAGACTTTATCATCTCTGACATCTCATGTTAACTTGAGAGCAGAATTTGCTTACTACATTGTGGAAATTCGATGGGTCCTCATATGCAAGCTGACCCCTTGGGTAGGAAACATTACAACTCAAAAATGATCACTACTAATTGTGCAATCAAAATATGTTCTTGATTTTTTTTAACTCAAGTCCAAGGATTTTTTCACCCACATGATCTCATTTGTTATTTTAAAATTGATTCTACTAGTTACAGGTAGGAAGATATGGGTTTTGTTCTGCTTTCCAGAGGCTAGCACATCTGTATGACACTCTACACCAGGCCTACAGCAAAGTGACCGAGGTCATGCACTCAGGCCGCAGGCTCCTGGGGACCTACTTCCGAGTGGCCTTCTTTGGACAGGTGAGTCGCCTCTCTGTTCTGTAGGCTGTCCCAGGTCCTTCTTTTTTTTTTTTTAACTCCATAAAATTGTATTTGGTAAATTTTGTGCTTTCTGTAAATGCTAATTTGATGAATTTGTCATATTTAGTATGATTTGTCATATTTAGCATCTTCCTCAGTAGTAAACTTTCTGCTTTTTTTGTTCTTTCTTCCTGTCTTTTCTTTATTAACTTTCTTAAGGCAGCGGTAAGTTCTCCTTTTATAAGACTTTCTTAGCGGCATCTTTGGTACTTCATGTGGTTTGCAAGTTTCTCTTGCAAGTCTCTTTGTATGTCCAGTCATTACGGGCTCCAAAATAATTAACATTTTATTTCATTTACAGAAATAAATCATCTATTTCCTCATACATCTATACTGCATGTTTTAAACCAAATTAAGACTGTCTGGTTTCTTTTGTCCCTGTGCATTTCTACGTCTTGTAATACAATATCTCCACAAGTATATTTACCATTGTAATATTTCAGAAGCCCTATATGAATGGGTTTATTTAAATTTAACTGAACGTTTAACCTCCAAGTCTCTAACATAACTAAATGGTATAAATTACAATCCATTTATTTAGAATGTGTGGTTTTCTGTGAGCATTATATAACCTTCAATTTATCCTGTTATTGTCTTTTATAACTTTATAGCAATACCAGTTTACAGACAGTGAAACAGATGTGGAGGTAATTACAGTAAATGCTTAATAAGCAAATAATATAGTGAAATTACTGCATCTAAACTCCTATTTTGATGTGGTTGTTTTTTGTTTCATATTAGCCTGCTTTTTAAAAATATATACTGTAGTTTTGGCACCATGTTTTCTCTTCCATTTTAGATGAGAAACGTTTTGTTTTAATTTATTTCAAATATTAACCCCAATCTGGACTTGTAAATTTTCAACCTTTTTCACTTCCCATGCAATTCTAAGCCTTGTTTTATTCAGATGTGATTGGTGCTAAAGCATGATGATAATGAAAATATTGGTGATATGACAATAGATACGACTGGTAATAATGAAAATATTTTCTGATATCATGCTACAGCCTTTTAATATTTTTCTCATCAGTATAGCAAAATAGAATTTACGGAAACTTTTCATAGCTTTTGCTGAACCTACTCCAGACCTGAATGCTTCCATTTATGCCATAAAATCCTGTATAAGTGGGAACAGTCAGGAGAAGGGAACTCAAGCAGGCTGCTGAGTTCCCTTTCTTGGGAATGTGAAACAGGCTTGAATCCCATCATCAGACTTAACTGAGAGAACACAGCCTTAAAACTCCAATCTTTCATTTCACTCAACACTTAATGACAGCATTTTTGAATGAGTTTGCAATCGTGCATTTTCTTTTATCTTTGCACCCAGACTTCATATTATTATCATTTTTCTTCCTATTTGAAAAGCTTGTTTAGTTAGGATTTTATTTTAGAGTCATTTCTCATTTTTAAACCCTTAAACCCTTCCTGGGTGGTAGCCTTGGGCTTGTATTTGGTGATATTTCTCTAATTGTGCTCTATGTCACAGGGGTTCTTCGAAGATGAAGATGGAAAGGAGTATATTTACAAAGAACCCAAGCTCACGCCTCTGTCAGAAATTTCTCAGAGACTCCTTAAACTTTACTCAGATAAATTTGGCTCTGAAAATGTTAAAATGATACAGGATTCTGGCAAGGTATGACTATGTTTGGAAACATATTATGGCAATATAATAGTGTTTCATTTATGCATGATTGACCATATATATTCATAAATGTGTATAGAAAAAAACAAAAACCCAGGAAAGAAAATTAAGAATGGTTGGCTTTGAGTGGCAAGTGTATATTTTTCTTCTTAATACTTTTTCTTTCTTTGTTTTCCAGACGTCCTTCATTAAGCAAATTTTTATTTTATAATTTTAAAAAGACACTCATTTACAGAGTAATGTCTGAAAGAATATACCTTTTTTAGTCCACATATTTAGAAATTCTGTAAGAGGAGAGTCCAAGTTTCTGTTTCTCATCGCACTTCTCCGTTGCACTTAGCATGGGCATATTTACCTGATACTCTGACTGATTGTTGGACTTATGGCCAGAGGACCAACAGATGGACACATCAAGAAATAAACTAAGTAGCCAGCACACATTTGCAGAAATGAGATCTACCTTCCATATAGAGAAACTGTATTGCTCTCCTGAAGACCCTTTCTAAACCTGCTGTTTTTCCTGCACATTTATGAGTGTGTGTCCCACTGTCTTCAGGGTATCTCCAGGAAGTTGGGTATCCCTTTGCTTCCTGAAATTCAGGCCAAGATAGAGATTCTGCTCTTTGCATTAAAAATGCTTCGCCTGCTCAGTTTCCAGCAATGATAAGCTCTCCCTCTTTCAAAGTCCACCCTTTAGGAGGCTCCTTTCAGAGGTGCCCTTTCTGTCCTGGGCCTACCTTTGGAGTTCCCAGTGTCTGGAATCTGTCTCTTTGGGGCCCTTCATTTTCTCTAGAGAAGAATCTTCCACCCTCCTGCCTAAGTGGAAGGGAGGAGACAAAGAAAGAGGTGATTCTGGATTCTGATGTAGGAGACAGGCAGAGGCTGAAGGCCCCCTGTTTGGCCTGCAGCCTTTCACCTACTCACCTAATGTTTCACTCTGTATCTCATTTCTATTTTCCACTGACACCGGTGACCCCACTTGGACTTTTTCCAGACCAGTTTCTCTTCTCTTGTGGGGCAAGGACTAGGAAGGGAAACCTGGGGTTCTGCCACTCCAGATAGACTTTGGGCCACTTGTCCTGGTTTCTGTCCCACACCTCTCCTGGTCACCCTAATGCTAGTGCTGGTGCTCTGCGGATATCAGTCCATTCAGGCTGCTGTAACGAACACCATGGATTGGCTGGTTTATAAACAACAGAGATTTATTTATTACAGTTCCAGAGGATGGGAAGTCCAAGATCAAGGTGCCAGCAGATTAATATGTGGTGAGGTCCTTCTTCCTGATTTGTAAGCAACTGTCTTCTTTGTGTCCTCTCATGGTGAAAGGGGTGAGGGAGCTCTGTGGGGTCTCTTCTGAGGGGTACTAATCCCATCCTAAGGGCTTTACCCTCATGACCTAATCACCTCCCACCTTCTAATACCGCCAGATTGGAGGTTAATATTTCAACCTGTGAATTTAGGGGTAACATAGACATTCATTCTATAGCAGCAGGCTTCTCAGGGGTGCTCTGACTCACTTGTTACCCCTCTCTGTCAGAACTTGGATTACAACTTCTTCTCTCTGCCAAATCAAATAGCACCCTCCATTTACCCACCTTCCAGAAATTCATTAAAGTCTCTCATCCACTGCTTCCTCCTGTCCTCTTTTCTTGGTCCTTGCACGTAAATTCTATATTGCCATTTTAACAGATTCACACAAAAGAAAAGGGATAAACACAGGTTGTTTGTCCATTTTTTAAATCAGGAACCTCGATACAACCTTATTCAGGTTTACTTTTTTCCTAGACAAATTACTCAGGTACAATTTGCCTTTCTCTCCGAAACTGAAACCTTTTTCTGGGTCAAGTTGTGGCTTGAAAATTATAGCCTTTACTCAAGACTCTCATGTATTCTTTCCCTTTTCATATGTAGTTCTTGGTGTAACAGCTGAAAGACTTCCTAGACTTTCTCTTCCCCTAAATACAAGTCCTCCCTTCCTTTTCCTGAGACATACATCCAATTTTGAAAATGAAGACTAGGAAAATACCATTAAAGCAATAGGGAAGAATGTTCATTTCCACTGCCTTAAATTGTTCCTGTTAAAGAAAGTTAAGTTTAATAGGTTTGAATACCATTATAGTAATTGGCCAGATGGCCTTTTCTAAAATAGGAATAACTCACAACTGTGTATTTTCTTAACTTCAAAAGGTTAAGGCAATTTCACATCTGTTCTCACTTTTCTTCACAAACATCTCTTAAGAGAACAGTGATGCATGGTAATTTGAGACCAGTAAAACTATCCTGGCAATGTGCGTTTGCCTGCTCTGATGCCAATCTAGTCTCCCCAATCTCTGCATTTCTTTCATGTGTCCTTTTATTGTTCTAGAAACTTGAATATAATTCATATGTGCTAAATTGATTTGTCTTCCTAATAAATTAGCTTTGGGTTTTATATGGAAAATGCCTACATTTAACTTTCTAGTATGTCCCAGAAGTTAGCACATCGCTAATTTCACAAATTTTTTTTTTAAAAGCATTGTGTGCTGAGTTAATCAGGAACTAAATTTATGGTTAGATTAGTTTTAGATTATTAAGCTGTATTTGTATTAAATTAATTCATCTACACCTGTTTACATCTAATCTGCCTACAGATTAATTATGGTTTGGGGACCTTGGTTGTAAACATTTTTACTGAAATAAACATTTCAATGTTATGAAAAAATAATGGGGAATTAAAATTCTAGACTTAAACAAGAATAAGAAGACCACAACTAAACACAAAATGTGATCATTGATTAGTTTCTGATTCAGGCACAAATAGCTATAAATAACATTCTGGGGACATTTGAGAGATTTTAACACAGACTGGGTATGGGGCATATTAGGGAAATAGTGTTAATTTTCTTAGGTATGATAACGCATTTTGATTATGAAAGAGAATGTCTTCGTGTTTAGGAGATGCTGGCTGCAGTGTCATGATATATATTACTTTGAAATGGTTCAGCTGAAAAAAAACTTTGTGTGTATTTGAAACAAATATAGCAAAATATTAGCAATTGTTCTAAGTGGTGGGTATGTAGGTGTTCTTTGTACTATTTTTTTCCAACTTTTCTGAATTTGTCCAAAACTTTTACTAATAAAAAGTGGAAAAACACAACTTATGCCTGCTTTGAAGGAGTATTTCAGCTAGCACCAATCTTCCATTTTATTTATTCATTTAAAGGTCAACCCTAAGGATCTGGATTCCAAGTATGCGTATATCCAGGTGACTCATGTCATCCCATTTTTTGATGAAAAAGAATTGCAAGAAAGGAAAACAGAGTTTGAAAGATCTCACAACATCCGCCGCTTCATGTTTGAGATGCCCTTCACTCAGGCCGGGAAGAGGCAGGGTGGGGTCGAGGAGCAGTGCAAACGGCGCACGATATTGACAGGTATGGTTCCCCAGCTCCTCCCTTTAAGAATCACATCCAGATGGCAGCCTGGACACCAAACACAAAGCTTTCTGGAAGAGATCCAGAAGCTCCTAGAATTGGAAGTTTCCCTCAAGCTTAGTTAATTTTCCCCACAAATCCATTTCAGTTTAACATTTATCAAATTCCTTCTCTGGAATACTCATGACATTTTTCTACTTACCTGTTTGCATTTTCTTCTACCAGACCAGAAGTTCATATTCAATATCAGATCACTTACCCTTCTTAGGATCTAATGAAAATGGTGGGCACTTATCTCCTCAGAATGCTTCTGCACACAATTTCAGGTGATTTACAGACTCCTTCTGAAACCCACATGGACCCCTCTCAGTCCCATGGCCACCATGTTCAAGAACCCCTGCACACAGGCCTGTATCTTCCTCACAGAAAGAGACCCTTTATGATCTCAGGTCTCATCATGAGCATGCTCAGAGGTTTTAAACTGAGTGAATAAAAGGAACATGACACTGGATCCCTCCTGCCTGGTCTCTGAGAGTGGTTGGTCTACCTCAGCTTGAACACCTCCAGTACCAGGAAGCTCACTGCATTCAGTGGCCACCTATTCAGCTGTTGCAGGGTTTTAATTAAATTTTTGGTACTGTTTAGCCATCCATAAACCATTCTCAAAAATATGTTTTACACTATTTCCCAGCTCCTGACAAGTGTAGAATCATATTAGGAGTGATTTTTACCTTCTTTGGGTGAACTTGACTCATTTACTCTTAGGGTAGGGTCAGCAACATGGCAAGGGTAACCTAAAATAAAGCACTTTGACTTAAAAAAAAAAAATCAGTGGAGAAGCCTATTGAGAAGGCCTGGTGTGTCTATATGCACCACCTAGACACATTTTTCAAAGAGTAGCCATAGTTAAATTGAACCAGGAGGCAACCAGTACTTGTCTAGGAGTCAGTGTTGTCATTGTTCCACCTAGGTGATCACATGCCACATTATAATAATAAATGAAAGAGCAATGCTAAGATGCTGCATTTCGGGTGAGGCTCTGCTCTCAGTTATATACTTTACATGGGTGAATTCTGTGGGATATGATTTATATCTCCATAAAGCTGTTGACAAAGAAAGAGTATGGCTCCTTATAAAATAGCTCAGAATAGCATATTGCAGAGAATTTTCACCCTTTTTATAGGGGAACTGGGATAAAAGGTAAAAATTGTATTTAGGAAAACCTACATTCTTTTTTTGAAACGCTCACCTGAGGATATGTTCATTGATTTGAGAGAGAGAGAAAGAAACACTGATGTGAGAGAGGAACATCAATCAGTTGCCTCCCGTACACACCCCAACCTGGAATCAAATCCACTACCTAGGTATGTGTCCTGACCAGGAATCAAACATGCAACCTTTTGGTGTATGGGGTGATGTTTCAACCAACTGAGCCAGCCGGCCAGGGCAAAAGCTTAAATTCTTAAAGAAATGGTTCCTACTCCTGCTCTTTAAATAATAAAATAACATGTAAAGCACAAACAGCATTGTCTCTCCACATATGTCATGAATTGCTTTTCTAATGAACGCAGTAGCACATCCTTCTTTAATGAGGCAAGGTAACTACATTCCAAATGGGGTAATTATATGAGTTATCAGCTTACAATGTTCATCACTATAGTAGCGATGACCTTAAATCAGTGCTTATCAAAGGTTGTTCCTGGATCTGCAGCATCAGCATCACCTGGAAACTTGTTAGAAATGCAAATTATCCAGCCCAACCCAGACCTATGAATCAGACACTGGGGTGGGGGTCGGGGGGAGGCAAGAGGCAGGGAGGGCAGTGAGTTGTGATTCACAAGCCCTGCAGGTGATTCTGATACCACTCAGGTTGCGGGACTGCTGCTTTAAATAAACTTCATTCATTGATGAGTCAGAGCCAGGTTTTTTATTATGTTTTTTTCACTCAGGTACCATACTGATTCATAAACAGTTATTACTATGGGGTATTTTCCCTAGGCAGGTTCCCTTCAGGGTGACTGTTTACCATTTTGTCATAGAAATATTTTAGATTAGATAAACAACATGAGCAAAACTCTATACTTGAAAGAACATAGAGGACCAATTTCTCTGTTCTATTCCATAGAACACCAGGAGAGGCAAAGTAGATACGTGTTTGGCTTGGTAAATAACCACCTTACACAGCTGGGAGGCTAAGAAAGTGTGGGCAGCGTAAAGCCTGGGCCTGTGTCTTGCAGACCTGGGACACACTCACTTTGTGATCTTGGACAGGCCATCTAACCTTTCTGTGCCTTAGTTTCCTTATATGTAAGAGGAAAGTTATACTTTCCATCTCATATTAAAGAATTTTGTAAATCATACCCAGGAGGGAAAGAATGTACTTCATTTTGCTAAATCTCACTTACCATTGAGCACCTTGCCTCTGAAGTTGATGATGAGCAAAAGCAGATTCTAGTACAACACAAAAATAAAGGTGTATATTTAAAGGATAAGTTACTGGACAGTGTAAAGATTTAGAGAAGGGGTTATAAAAATGCTAATAAAAACTATATCAACCTTTAGTTAAAGATACACAGACCAGGATATCCTGCACACTTTTAACTTGAGAGTTTTTCCTCATGTTATTAATACCTTAGGTTCTTTCATGGAATTGCTCCAAACCTGACCTTTGGCCATCGAAGGTGTGGGAGAGCCCCAGCCCTCTGAATCCAGCAGATGCTCACTTTCCTGGATAGTTTAGTCAGCTTCAATGTGTAATCATTTAAAAACCTAATGATCACCCTCCTGGCCCCTTCAGTGTACAGGACATTTCTGAGCCTACCTCCCAACATGATCCCCTCTGTTTCTTCTTTCATAGAACCTCTGGTGTGGAGTTACTTCCCAATCACTCTTCCAGAGTCTTCCAAATCATTCCCAGACTCCCACTCAGACTGGAAATATTCTCCTCCCTTCACCTTGTATTCAGTCTAATCAGAACATATCATCACTCCTCAGCCATCTCTTTCTCAACCTCCTTAAACTAGTGCAGGCTGTTTATGAATAAGGTTATAGCTCACTGAGTCTATCACCTAATTTTCCACCTTCCAAGACACTGCCCTTTCGTTTAGCCATTTGAGCAGTAATGCATTCATTAATTCAGCAAAATTTGTTGAGCACAGGCAGTGTTCCAATTTAGCATACTAACAAAACAAAACTCTCTGGCTTGTGCACCTTAGATACTAGCAGGAGGAGATAAATGATAAACAGTAAACATGATGCATAAATATACCTATGTTGGAAGGTAATATGTGTTCTAAACAAAAGCAAGAGGAGATTGGAAATGTGGGGTTGAATGTGACGGTTGCAGTTTAAATAGAGTGACTGGAGTAGACATCTTTGAGGAGGTGACATCTGAGTCCAGATTTGAAAGAGGTGAGGGAGTGGGCCATGCAGACATATAGAGGGAGAAGGAGCTGTATAAAAATAAACTCTGTATTTCACATACTCACAACTGTAAACCTACTTTTGCCCCACCCTGCCTCTTTAAATTGCCAGTTATCACAAGAAGCAGTAACTCAAGACTTTTACGCCAAGTGAAATCAGCATAATCCATGGACATCTCATAAACATCCTTGGAGTTGTTTTTTCTCTCCAAAATTGAGGTGTTGCTGCACCATAGCACTCAATACTGTTATAAAACTAATTGTATGTATTTTAACTTGGTTGTTAGCCTCATGAAATGTTTCCACAGGTGCTTCTTCATTACAGAGGGGAAAACTGTAGTGCTCCTCCATAAAGCACGTCAGTCTGTCGCATCCATGTACACCTCTGGTCTGGGGATCATTTCCCCGTTTCCCTGGCTGATAAGCAGCAGTGCCCAGGTCTTGTCACATTTTCAAGGGCGACTTTGGTTTAAGTAGGATTTGTCAATCCCAGTGTTGCCTCTTAAAAACTGTCCACAAGTAATACAAAAGAAATAGGAGACATGGACCCTGACTTTACATTGATAAAATTTTTAGAGACTAAGACAGGCCTGTGAGTGTGTGACAAATGCGGTTGCATCAGGTTGAGCATCTTCTCCAGCTTTGTCCAGACTTTGGGTGGCCCACTGGAAGTCTGTGTTCTATGGGGCTGGCCTGTTTTCTCATCTTGTGATAAGTCTTTTCTGAGTAACACCCCACCCCAGCCACTTACTAATAGTAACAAGTCCAAATTCATATTCTCATATTATTTTTGCTTGTTAAAAAATAGCTTTTCAGCATATATCTAAAGGTCAATTAGTAAATTGGTGTTAAGTGAGAATATTACAGATATTCATATGCCATATAAAGCAACAAAGTAGAAATGTGAAACAGACCCAAATTAGAACCAACTGCTTCTCTGTTCATTTTTAAACTTAACTCTTTGGTATTGATATGTTCAGGTGTCTTATTATAATACAATAATACTGATTTTCTTTTGGTAAAAAATATATGAGATTTGTAGTCAAGATGGTGGCATATATAAACATGGATTGCCTCCTCGCACAATCACATCAAAATTACAGCCAAATTGTAGAACAACCGTCACTCAGAACAATCAGAAATCAAGTTGAATGGAAGTCTGACAACTATGGAATTAAAAGAAACCACATCCGTCCAGACTGGTAGAAGGGGCGGAGGTGCAGAATGGCCTGGTTCCACACCCACGTGTGGTAGATAAAAATTCCGGAGGGATATCTCAGTGGCGAGGAGTCCCAGACCCACACCAGGCCCCCCAGCTCAGGGTTGCAGTGCCAGGAGGATATGTCCCCATAACTTCTGGCTGCAAAAACCAGCAGGGATAGAATCAGTGGAAAAACCTGCTGGGATCTAAAGCGGTTCCTCTCAAAGAACCCACAAACGAATTTACTCAGACTCACTCCCTCTGAGCTCCAGCACCAGGGTAGCAACTTGAGAGACACCAGTGGCATACAGGGGGGGACTGAAGTGTCTGGCCTCAAGGTGTAAGCTGGGGATATCTTTCTCCCAGATAGAAAGAAGGCAGACAGAGGCCATTGACCCTTTTCTGAACCCTCCTCTCAGAGAGGCGGCAGGTTGGTACCATAGCTGAGACTCCATCAACCTGGATAACATTATTTGCCTGGCCCCAGAGATCCCCTGTAGCTCTGTCTCACCCAACTCATGACTCTTAACAGTGGCTTTTCCATATGAATGGCTGGTCTTGGCTCATGCTTCTCAACTTTCTAAATCCCATCAAACAAGCAAGAGCTGGCTTCAGTGAGCCCCCAGTCCCGGTACCTCTTGCTAAGTGGCCCCAGTTACAGCACTAGCAGCAGCCAGCCTAGACTCACAGCTTGGCTTCCTGGGAATCTCCAAGCTCTGCACAAGTAACAGCCATCTCAGATTGCATTATAACTCAGGCAGAACACAGGTGGTTGCCAACCTTGGCCTGCACCACCCGGGAAACCCCAGGGCCTGTGCACCCAGTGAACAGCTACAGACCGCATCAGAGCACCACCATCCTTGCACAGCTAATCCTCCATGGAGGGTAGAGGTTGGTGGTCAGTGGTCACAGCCAGTCCGTGCAGCTGACTGGCCTGGGTAAATCCCTCCCATTGATATGCCAACAGCAACCAAGGCTCAACTATAAGAGGAGGGTGTACTCAACCCACACAAATGGCATACCTCAAGTTACCCAGCTTGGGTGATGGGGGCTGTGCCGCTGGACCCAGAAAGACACCTATTGTATTAGGCCACGGTACCAAGACAGGGGATCATAACAGCTCTACTTAATACATAGAAACAAGCACAGGGAGGCTGAAGAAATGAACAGACAATAAAACATGGCCCAAATGAAAGAATAGATCAAAACTACAGGAAAAGAACCAGACCAAATGGAGATAAGAAACCTATCAGATGTACAGTTCAAAACACTGGTTATAAGGATGCTCAAAAAACTTAGTGAGGACCTCGACTGCATTAAAAAGATCCAGTCAGAAATGAAGGATTCACTAATTGAAACAAAGAACAATTTACAGGGAAACAACAGTACAGAGGATGAAGCCAAGAATCAAATCAATAATTCAGAATATAAGGAAGCAAAAAGCCACCAATCAGAACAACAAAAAGAAAAAAATATTTCAAAAGAAACCCCCCCCAAACAATGATAGTTTAAGGAGCCTCTGGGACAACTTCAAGGAGGCCAGCATTCGAATCATAGGGGTGCCAGAAGTAGAAGAGAAAGAGCAAGAAATTGGAAATCTATTTGAAAAAACAATGATAAAACCCTTTCCTAATTTGGTAAAGGAAATAGACATGCAAGTCTAGGAAGCACAGAGAGTCCCCAGCAAGAAGGATACGAAGAGGCCCATCTAAGGCACATGATAATTAAAATGCTCAAGGTTAAAGATAAAGAGAGAATTTTAAAAGCAGCAAGAGAAAAGAAGTTAGTTACCTACAGGGAAGTTCCATAAGACCACCAGCAGATTTCTCAAAAGAAACTTTGCAGGCAAGAAGAGACTGGCAAGAAACATTCAAAGTCTTGAAAAACAGGGACCTACAGCTAAGACTGCTCTACCCAACAAAGTTATCATTTAGAATTGAAGACCAGTTAAAGAGCTTCCCAGACAAAAACCTAAAGGAGTTTATCATCACCAAACCATTATTATATGAAATATCAAAGGAACTTATTTAAGAAAAAGAAGATCAAAACTATGAGCAATAAAATGCAATAAGTACAAATCTATCAATAATTGAATCTAAAAAACAAACTAAGCAAACCAGATCAGAGACAGAATCATGGACATGGCTTTGATGGTTGCTAGGTGGGAGATGCATGGAGGGGAATGGGTGAAGAGGTGAGGGGATTAAGATGTACAAATAAGTAGTTACAGCATAGTCATGGGCATGTAAAGTACAGCATAGGAAATGTAGTAGCCAAAGAACTTATACGCATGACCCATGGATATGAACAATGGTGAGGAAATTGCCTGAGGGAGGGGGTTTCTGGGTGAGGGGGGCCAAAGGGAGAAAAACGGGACAACTGTAATAGCATAATCAATGAAACATAATTTAAAATATATAAGAAAAAGTAAATATTTTGTTACATTATTTGTTTAAAAATATCTATTGTGACTTCAACCAGTTGTGCATTTCTGGTTCGCAGAATACTTCGCTTGGAATTATATTCTCACTTCTTACTTTTCATTAATTTCTCTGATTTGTGCAGACTTAAGCATGTGATTCAAAGTTATTCTGTGGATAAAAGTGAGTTTTTTAATATTTTTTCTGCACTTAATATGTTTGTAATATCGTAAAACTATTTAGACATTTTTGCATTTCCAAAGCCATCTTATAGCTACTAGAGCATTCAAATCTCACAGCTTCCAAGGAAGACAAGGCAGTCATGGATGAGAAAATGTAAGAGGACGCAATAAAGTGATGTCTTCAAAGATACACTTCTCACATGAAACGTTAACAAGGAACCTGTCATTAAACATACACAATGATTGGAAAAGACAGTATACTGGTTACATGAAATACTGGCCTATGACTTTGGTTCCTTATCTGTAAAATGGTAATAATAATTGCTTGTACCTCAATAATAGTAAAGATCATACATACTGTGGAATAATTCTAGGACCTATTACTCCACAGCAATACACTGCTTCCCTTATGTGAAGAAGCGGATCCCTGTCATGTACCAACACCACACTGACCTGAACCCCATTGAAGTGGCCATTGATGAGATGAGTAAGAAGGTGGCTGAGCTTCGGCAGCTGTGCTCCTCAGCTGAAGTGGACATGATCAAACTCCAGCTGAAACTCCAGGGCAGCGTGAGTGTTCAGGTAAGCCAAGCACCAGACAAAACAAACCTGAGGGCAACCAAGGGAAAGGCTCCTTATTTAAGACCTTGGAAATTTCAGGTCATTCACACCAGCAAGATCTAGTGTAGATCTCTGGCTTTACCCGTGATCCCCCTTACCTACCCTCAAGGCCTATGCAGTTTCTCCTGTGACCAGAGTGGGCAGTAGCCGTAGGGCCCCTCTCATCCCCGCCTACAAGTGTCATTCTTACTAAACTCTCTGCTGGAAGCAGGAGGCAGCTTTCCATATTAACCTGTTTTTCTGGGGGCGGGGGGGGGGGGGGGGGATGGGGGTTTGTTTTTTTGGTAATTTGGGAAATTCTGGGTGCCTAACTGGGAGCATTAAGACCCTTCTAAATATTAAAAAATGTGGTAGCTGTAGGTTTTCTTATAAAACTATTGCTTTATTTTTTTCTGGTTTCTATAAAAATTGTTATCTGAAAAAGTACTTTAAGTTTTACTCTCTTAAGGGTATATTTTGACTAACATAAATTCCTTATTTTTAATATAGCCCAATAGATCTGTTTTTTTCCTTTACTGGTAGCATTTTTCTATGTCCACTCAAAAAAATCTGTTCTTAAGAGAATATCTTTGAATCATATGTATGTTTTCCTTCTTTGTTTAACATTCCTATGTAGATTACAGTCCATCTAGAATTGATTTTTGCATGTGGTAGCAGATAGCCAAGTTTTTTTTTTTCCATATAGCCATCCAAGTGATATGTATCATTTATGGAAAAGGTCACCCTTGATCTAGGTAATGATTATACAAATATGTTCTGTTTGTTCATGAAAATTTGTCAAGCTATACATGTATATTATGTGCTCTTTTCAGTTTGTATATTGCACTTCAAAAATACATTTTTAAAAGGTGTCTTGTGTGGTTTCCTAGGAAATTGGTAAATGTTAATCACATCCTTCCAGTGACCAGTATGTCTCTCACTTTATTGATATTTTTTAATGTATGTAAGTAATTCTAGCATGTTTTATATATGTATGTGTGTGTGTTTATATGTGTCTCCAATTCTTTTCTCTTTCAAGAAGGGTGTTTATGAAAGTTGCATGTAGATTGTAATACATAAATCCTTGGTTCATTTTCTGAAATCAGTTTTTGTCAACTTTTTATCAGATTCATGCCAAGTTGCTGCCTAACATTTTTCTAAATGTCATTCACCACAAAAGTATTTATAGATGTTTTCAACCTCCTTTCTTATGGCCCAAAAAACTTGGGTGCCAAAACGAGTTATCAAGTGAATATGATAATTATTCCAACGTGAGTGATTATATTTGTGTCCAGAGGCCAGCAGCTTTCTTCAGCTAAAAACAAAACTACTCAGTTACTCAGTTATGTGACCTGGGAACATCCAGCTTCTATTGAAAGACCAGCAGCAGGGTGTGGGCGCCAGTAAAATGTGGGGCTGGACAGGTTGAGCTTTCTAAAGGGCAAAATGTGCCCTCCCATTGGACTGTGACCTTAGACTTTTACAAATGTGCTCTATCTTAAAAAGCAAGGAATCGCATGATGAAGTAAGATTAAGTTTATATGTGTGTACCCATCAAAGTTAACACAAAGTCAGAGCTAGAGGAAATTCACTTTATCACTTTGTGACTTCTGTAATTCTTTCACCAAGAGCCCTACTGGGATTGCTGTTGTATACGACAGAGCCATCAGGTTGGCTTCATGGTGCTGCACTCCAAGATCTTATTATGTTAGAATTTATAAAGTTTCATCGACTTTCCCCTTTGCATTTTCTTAAAACTGAATACAGCTGTCCCTTGTTATCTGTGGGGAATTGGTTCCAGGAACCCCTGGGGATACCAAAATCCATGGATGCTCAAGTCCCTTACATAAATGGCATAGTATTTGCATATAACCTACACACATCCTCCAACATACTTTAAATCATCTATAGAATACTTATAATGCCTAATACTATGTAAATAGTTGTTATATGTATTATTTAGGATATAATGGCAAGGAAAAAGTCTGTACGTGTTCAGAACAGAAACAACCATCTTAGGCCTAACTACATAGTACGTCAGCAACAATGTAACTTTTTTAAAAAAATATTTTTGATCCATGGTTAGTTGAATCTGCAAATGCAGAACTTTTGGATAGAGAGCCAGCTGCATATGTATCATTTTGGAGAATCGGTCATTTGGGTCATCTTCAAGTCATTAACATAGTTTCGCTCACACATATCCAGTATGATGACACATTCAATCATCACAGAGGATTAGATTGTTGTACCTGTCTCAGAGGACCCATCTGTTAGAGATGGCTCTCTCCCAACCTCTGGTATGAATTCCCACACCTCAAATTTCCTGCCATTGCTGTGTAAGTCCTGCACACCATGGATCAGAACCACAGCCTACAGCAACAAACAGCAACAAAAAAGACAGGTGGCACTCCCTACTTACTTACCTTCCAAGACCACTAGACCTTCCAGGAAAAATTATGCAGTAATCACTGGTAAAGTCCTTTCCCAAACTGTCTCAGATGTCTGGAATTTTCTCCTTCCCACCTGGTATGTTTAACTTTCTTTTTATCTCTATTCCCACATTGCCTGACTTACCCAACTTCAGAGAACTCTTCTTGGCTAATTGAGACATTCAGGGTTCGGGTTCATACATCCTGTTGCTAAGTGCCCCTAATCTTTGGCCGTACAGCACACCTCAGATGGTTACTTCATTCAAGGAAAACAAATCAGTTTGCCCATGACTGTCTAGACAGTTCAATGAGGTGAACGCTTGGTTTTTTAAAAATTGGCATACATACTATGTTTTTTTCAGTTTTTCCCGGAACTCACCAACTTGAGTGTAGTGTGGCACAAATATCAACTGGAAGACTTGGGCTCTAATCTCAGGTGTTTCACTTATTGGATGTTTACTTTGAATAGGTCCTTACATTTTCCAAGCTTTGCTTCTTCCTACGTAAAATGAACCATTGTCACAAATGCCCTGAGGATGGCGGAAATGGTAAAATCAAATGGCATGTCATCATTTGGTAGAAGCTGTCATCATGGTTTCCTCTTTATGGGTTGTAAGTTTCTAGAGGGCAGGGGTCATGACTAACTCAAACATCATTTTTAGCACATACCAACTGAAACTAGATCACTGATAAGATCATTTTCTTTGTAACATAATTTTAAATCTTTGTTCTTCCTCTAGGTCAATGCTGGTCCACTAGCATATGCCCGAGCTTTCTTAGATGACACAAACACGAAAAGATATCCCGACAATAAAGTGAAGTTACTTAAAGAAGTTTTCAGGTAAAGTACATGGGAAACATCTCTTTCTCTTCAAGTATTAACAATTTCTGTACTCATTCAAGGAAGAGACACTTGGACTCATTCTTTGTTCTCAACATGCCTTTATTTCCCTCCCCTGTACCATTTCAGGCAATTTGTAGAAGCTTGTGGTCAAGCCTTAGCAGTAAACGAACGTCTCATTAAAGAAGACCAGTTAGAGTATCAGGAAGAAATGAAGGCCAACTACAGGGAAATGACAAAAGAGCTTTCTGAAATCATGCATGAGCAGGTAAGTGCCACAATGGAGTTCTCATTTTTAGGGAGCATGTGTTAGTTGGGGTCTTAGGTACACCCTATAATGACCTATACCTTCTGACATCCTTCCAGAATTTTGAGAATAATATAGCACACTACACTGCCACTACTATCTAACCACAGGTTTCTTGGGAAACAACTAACAAATTGCCCACCTATTATTTTCTAATCCAACCAGAGGAGAGCAGCTTCCACCTCCTCTTCAACAATCTTAGAGGTGGGCCCACCCCACCCCAATCTAGTTTAAAAAAGAAAACTCACATAAAAAAGAAATACCCATACTGTTCCTAGAATTGTGTTCATTCACCCACTCCTTTGAAAGAACAGGGTTTACCAGCCTGTTTAAGGAATTATCTGTTGTATTAAATGTCTTTGGCTATTTACAAAAATAGGGTCGTTCAATTTTTTATTATTTACAGCTGACCTGTGTGCCCCAGTGGATTCTTCTTGGCTACTTCTATATTCCGTGTCATTACGGGATGTTGTCTGATTATACTGCTACTATCACCTTCCTGTATGAATTCCTGTCACTAGAATCCTGTATGTGGGCTCAGTAGTCATCAGAGGGGACAGCTACCTAGGGAACCCAGGAAATGTCACAGAGCAGCTTCCACATAATTTCAGAGAGGTCTGTTCTCCATCAGCCATAATCACTCCTTCTGAGTCATAGTGCCAGTCTTAACAATTAGTGTTAGTACCATGATAACACAGAACTAGTTTGTCTCTTCCCTACAGTATTGCCTTTCAGCGCTGCAAAATGAAAGCCAGGACCATTTGTGTCAGTTAACATATTGTATGAGGATTTAGTTAGGAAATTTCTGTTGGAAAGTAAATGTTTAAGCTTTAACTTGCATCTTTTTTTTTTCTCCTTCATGCTGACACATTCAGATGGGGTGGTAATGTCATTTTTTAATTTTACTTTTCTGAAACTTGATAAACTGACTCATAAATTTATTCCTGAGTTTGGGCAACTGCAGACATTGGCATAATGACAAACACATGTGCAAAAGAAGGCATTCCTATTCTGGGCACTTAGAAAAGTAGAAAAAAGTTGAAATGATTAAAGACATTAATGTGTGAATACTTAACCAGAATGTGAGGGCCTCAAGAGAACAAGTGTTTGAAGAACACTGAGGCCTTTTCCATGGGCCTCCAGATTCCTGTAGAATGGAGAGTTTGATCAGTGGGTGCCAGCATTTGGCACTAGAAAAGATGAAAGTAGAAAAAGAATTATGAGCTGAAAATATTAAAATAAATGCCCAGATTGTATGGACATTTGATGCAGTGCTGTGTTCTAAATTTGCACTTTCTATTGTCTCAGCAACTATGAAGATTAAACTCCTTTGAACCCTTAAGGAAAAAAGGGTCATAACCCAGAGTAGACTTGCTTTTGGCTTTTCCAGGGGAGCCTCTGAGTTTGTATGTTCTTCTCAGTTTCTACCTTAGAATCCTTCCCTGAATGACTGAATGTAAAAGGAGACTTGTTCAGGGTCAAAGGGGCAGCCACCATCCCTGTCCCAGGATGGAAATCTATAAGACCCTGATAAAGGAGCCAGTAGAGAAACATAGATGCTCTAGATTCATTTTAAAAGAGTTTTCCAAGGGACAAAGCTAGGTCATGTTCCACCAAGTATGTGTAAGATAGACTTCAAGCCACCTTATAACCTGTTGAATCTAGAAGGCTCTTTACTCACTGATTTGGAAAGGAAACAAAACATGTTTGTTCTGGACTTTCTCCTTATAATCCTGATCAGAAAAATGTCACTTACTAGATGAGCTGATACAATCCTTCTGCAAACCACCAAAATCAAACTCTGTCTGAGCAAACCATCATTCCCAGTAATAGTTGCCATTTGATGATAAATCGCGTGTGTTTAATGAAATGCACTATTTTGAGACATGTTGTTCAGAGCATTACACTTGAGTAATGTTGTGTTTCTGTGCCTCGAGATTTGCCCCCTGGAGGAGAAGACAAGCGTTTTACCGAATTCCCTTCACATCTTCAATGCCATCAGTGGAACTCCAACAGGCACAATGGTTCATGGGATGACCAGCTCGTCCTCAGTTCTGTGATTCATCTCATGGACCACATGTGGGGACTTGCTTTGTCATTTGCAAACTCAGGATGATTTTCAGAGCTAACCACAGGGCTCATGCAAGACACGGGGAGTCCAAACACATGGAGAAATCAGGGGAATGGGAAGAAAAAGGAAATAAAGAACTATGTTGTTTCATAGCAGATTTTCTAGAGAAGTCATAAGAGGGCACATATTTTTTTAAATCTCACTGTCAATATTCAAAGTTTTCATTCTATCTTAACAGAGATGGGTGGTAGACACTCATAAAGTGAAGTTAAATTTTATTCTTCCATACAGAATAGTAGTAGAATAAATGGCCTAGAGAAAACAAGTGTTCTGGAATAAACATAGCCGGGACAGTAGCACTGAAACTGAGGCTGGGGTAGTCCTTTGCCTCTGAGCTAAGCTGGAAAATCTTGAAAATATTTTTTTCCTGTGGCACATTCAGGTTGAATACAAGAACTATTTTTGGACTAGTTTTTGATGACCTAAGGAAACTGACCATTGTAATTTTTGTACCAGGGATTGAGGAGGTTTAGTGCTTTTATACATATTTACTTCATCTAAAAAACAAGAAAGCTTAAGAAACTATGTGAGCTTAAAACTAGTCAAGCAGTTTAGAACCAAAGGCCTATGTTAATAAACATAACTATGTTAGAAAGTTTAAAATAACACAGTATGTTGTTGTGTACATAAATGTTGTTAATATAGCCTTGGCATTCTGTACATACATGTGTTACATTTTTACATTTTTAATACTCCTCACATCAGCTTCTGCATTAAGTTTTATTGTGACAAATTTGTGCTGTTCCTAGCATATGCGAGGCACTTGACTTTACTGTTTTATTCTTGTACATAAAAAGTGCAATATGGAGATGTATACAGTCTTTGCTATGTTAGGTTTATAAACTGTTTTAAAAAGTTCATCCTTTTGCCAAAGTGGAGGAAAATGTAATTGGTAAAACATGAATCCTGTGGTGAAAAATGGCGTGATTTAAAGCTTTCACCATGTTACATTCTTTTGAGACATTAATTTAGTAATTTTATATGGGGAAAATAAAGGTTTTAAATTTAATTTAACTAGAATCTCTGCCCTGCTGTAATTAAACATTCTGTACCACATCTGTATTAAAAATATGCTGATTTCCTGGTGGTAAATATTGGGTATTTATTGTTTAATTGTCCTGAGAGGGACAGGATATTGAAATGCTCAGGAGTAAAAAAACACAGTATATGAAATTTGCTTTAAAATACTTGAGGGGAAAAAAAAAGAGGGTAGGTAGATGAAACAAGGTTGACAAATGTTGGTAATTCTTAAAACTGAGGCCGGGTACATGGGGAATTACTATGCCAATTCCTCTGCCTTTTGTAAGTTTCTATGATACAAATGCCAACAGGAAGGTGTAGGGAAGAGATCTTCCAGAGAATTTGGATAAATGCTTTGCTGCACCATGGTCTGGCTCAGAATTCTACTATCGTTCCCCAAGAATACACAGACACTGTATTACCTCTCACTTTTGCTTTTCAACTCTATCAAGGCTTCCACTTCTATAATCACCCTTGCTTGCATTGAGATGAATATTCTGGGACAAGGTCATTATTTATTCCAGTAGTGCATTGGTGGCCACGTTTGCACGCACTCCCTGTGCCCTATGGTATCACAAACACTGAACCCAAGTCAAGTGATGGCCAGTCCTGCCTCTGGTGTGCCCAGTGACCCAGCAGGTAAGTCAGTTCATTGTCACTCATCCCATATAGTTCCAGTGGTAGAAGAAGAGGAGTCTTTCCACAGGAAATAAAATGGCTGGTTTTCCTACTTGAAGGGTTTTAAAGGCTGTCTTACATAACCAGTTGAGGAAAGAAAATGTAAAAGCGTGCACATCTTGAGCACCCAGATGCCAAAGATCTTTTGATGTCTTTGAAATATTCCCTATCAGTGGTAAAGCTCTACTTTACAGATGGAGGCAAGGTCATGAATAGGTGGTGAAGTGTTATGGGAACTTACAAGGGTCTACAGCCCATTCATTAATGGATTCAGATTTAGGGCTTAAGAAATTTTTCTATATAAGTTTGGCCTAAGGGTCTGACATCCCTAGCCCTTGACTCTGTCATCAGCACGAATGGGTATTGTCTCCTTTGTCACTGAGCTGGATTTTCTACTTGTAATTGCCTCGTTTAGGAGCTATAAAATTCAAGTCACCATGTAGTAATATAAGTACAAGTCTAGAAAGGGCTAATCTGCTACTCATATTTAAACTTAAAGAATAATATGTAACAATGCCATTGTCAGGTAAGATTCAACTTAGAAGATGACCAACCCTCATTTATTACAACAGTGGAGAAAGGAGCCATTTCTAAGTTGAGGACATCTAGCTGTTGACCCTGCAATAATACAATGCATATCAATTAAAAACCTCACTTAGTTTTTGTGTCTAAATTTCATTTCAATATAAAGTTATATTACAGTAGCAATTTATTGGAGAAATTTTTAACATTAAAGAATATTGCAGTTTTTCAAGAAATTTTTTAGTATTTCCCATAAATCTTGTTTTTTTTTTCAGATAAGTATATATAACATAAAATTTACCATTTTAACTATTTTTAGGTGTACAGTTTAGTGGCATTAAGTACAGTCTCATTGTTGTGTAACCATTGCCACCGTCCATCCACAAAACTTTTTCATTAACCCAGAGAAATTCTGTACTCATTAAACAATTAACTGCCTATTCCCTCTTTGAGAAAATTGTTTTTGAAGTAACCTAGAAATCAAAAGTCTAATTAGTACTTTATCAGGCATATTTGCTATCTGGCACCCAACTAACTCTAGGTAGCATACATAAATAGAGCCAGCCGCTTGCATGGAGAAAGCGGCCAAGACTAAGGATAGAAAATTGAAAGGTAACTTAGAAATAACCATAAGGACTTGTTTAACCATATGGCAGAATTATTCTGTATAGAAACTCCATTAAAAAAATACTCGATTCCCATCAACAGGGTATTTGGTATGTAAACTATGGTGCATCCACATAGTGGAGACTATGTGGCTATAAAAGGAATTAATAATATTTCTGTATATTACTTGGAGTAATCGTCAAGATACTGTAAGTGAAAAACACAAGATAGAGACAAGTGTGAATAGTATACTACCCATTATTTAAGAAAGGAAGGATGTATAAACACATTTGTTTTTTAGATGAAAAAGGAAAAAAAGTTTTACGTTGCTACCTAAAGGGGGAGAGAATGATATTTAGGGAGTAGGGTTAGAAGATAAACCTGTCCAAATACAGTTTGCTTCATATTTTTGACTTTAGAATCACGAATTTACATAATTATTTAAATGATTTTTTTAATTTCTAAAAGTAGAAGGCAATTGAAATAAATGAACATAAGGAAATAGCAAGTTGGTGACAAATACATGGGAATTCTTTCAAATGACTTTATAGGAATTTCACTGGGATATACCTAAGAACAAAAATAGAGGCAATAAATAAATGATTGGCAATAAAAACCATTTTCAGTAATTGTTTTGTTTGTGGAAGCAGTGTATTATTTTTATGAGATTGTATTGTTTTTCTGAGACTTGTTTGTTAATTGCTGGAGAAAGTAAATGAGTGATTATGCTGATTTCATTGGGAGTCAAGCTTTTGTCATGGGAAAAAAAAGTTGCATCTATAAGATGAAAGGAGTTAAATTAAAACCCTTTAGTTCCAAATTTGATATGGACATACAAGTTTGAATTCATGATAGATTTTTCTTAAACATACACGCTTATTTCTTAACTTGGTTCACTGACAAGGCCTAAAAACAATGAATAAGCAAGTAGCTAGTAATCACCCCTAAATGCCCAAATCCTGTTCTCTAAATGCCTTTTGTACCAAAAGGATCCAGGGCTTCCTGGGAAAGGCTGATTCTAGATTTAGGGCAAAATGTGTCCAAAATGAGTCTGGAGCATCTTTTCTTACCAGACGTCCAAGGGACTGGCAAACATACCTGCGGCCCTGTCAAAGGAATTTAAAGAAGTTCCTTCTAGACAGACATGGGATGCACATCAACAAAAATAATAATAGCAAGAGATTGAAATTATAAATTTCTAAATTACTAAGTTCTTGAGTTCATGATGATAACAGAAAAAGAAAACTGGTAATTATTGAAGAAGTTAGTACTACCAAGAAAGACTAAGATGTGATATGCTTCATGATAGAAGTAGACGCCACCACCTGTGGTGGAGTCTTGCCAAAGCTTAACATGAATCTGATGAAGTCTAACTCTGACTACCAATTCCCCAAGAAATACAAGGCACAGAGGAGCACATTAAATGATATCAAGTGAATGAAAGCAGCAAAATCCAATGCTGTGGAAAGCTCTCTAGGACAAACAACCTGGTTCCATTCAGTAAATTAAAAAATAAATAAATAATGCAGAGGACACCTATATATTATATAAGATTCAAGTTTCTCTTGATATGGTATATCTATACACTATGCAAAGCAGATACACTTTTCCCTATCCCTTTTACTAAATACAACTATTATACATTGAAAAAAGAAGATTCTGACAGAGTGAAGAAAGCAGACCAAATAAGGACCTTGGGACCCAAAGAATGATACAGGGGTAAGTTCCTATTTATCTTGTTGCCTCATATGTCCCATACTTGGAGCTGAAGAAGCCAGCAACAAGAAAATGCCTACAGACAGACAAAAAAGACAAAAACTACTTCACACCCAGTGTGATGGCTATTATTTAAAAAAAAAAAAATGTAGTGAGAATGTGAAGACATTAGAACCCCTGTGCATTGCTGTGGGAATGTAAATTGTACAGCTGCTATGGAAAATGGTGCAGTGGTTCCTCAAAAATTAACTGTAGAATTACCATATGATCCAGCAATCCCACTTTTGGCACTATGCCCTAAAGCAATGAAAGTAGGAAGTTAAACATTTGTATACACATGTTCATAGAGGCATTATTGACAGTAACCAAAAGATGGAAACAACCTCATTGGTGGATGAAAGGATAAGCAAATGTGGTATATAATAAAACAATATTATTATGCTTTAAAAGAAGGAAATTCTAGCACATGCTACAATACGAATGAACCTTGAGGACATTATGCTTAGTGAAATAAGCCAGACACAGAAGGCTAAGCCTACTCATATGAGGTACCTAAAGCAGTCAAATTCATAGAAGGTAGCAGGGTGGTTGCCAGGGTCTTTGAAGAGGAAATGTTGGGAGTTAGTGTTTAACTGGTACAGTTTCAGTTGGATAAGATGAAAATGTAGGGATGGATGGTGGTGCTTGTTGCACAATAATGTGAATATGCTTAATGCCACAGAACTGTATGCATCAAAATGGTAACTAGTCCTCTGTTGGATATATTGGTTTGCAAATATTTTCTCCCAGTCTGTATCTTGTGTTTTCATCTTCTTAGGGTCTTCTCAGGGCAAAAGTTTTTACTTTAAGGACTAGCTGTTCTCATTTAGCATAATTCTCTAGACAGTCCACTTAGAACATGACATTTCATTGGAAAGGATAGATAGGTGGCAAATAATGAAAAGACACTTAACATCATTAAGTCATAAGGGTAGTTAATGCATATTAGAACCACGATGAGAGGTTACTACACACTGGTCAGGGTGACTAAAGTCACACATAGTGATAACAGCAAATATTAGTGAGAGAAACATCACTCATCCATTGCTGGCAGACAGTAAAATGTCAGCCACTCTGCAAAAGGTTTAACAGTTTCTTTAAAAGCTAAGTATGTAAAGACCGTATGACCCAGAAATTGCACTCTTGGTCATTTGTCCCAGAGAAATGAAAATTTATATTCATACAAAAACCTATACACAAGTGTTTATAGCAACTTTATGTACAATGTAATCACCCCCAACAGGAAACAACCTAAATGCTCTTGAACAGGCAAATAGATGACTGGGTTGCATCCGGGCCACAGAGCGCTACTCAGCAGCAAAACAGAATGTGACTGGAGAATTATGCTGAGCAAGAAAAGCCAGTCCTAAAAGGTTACATATGGTATGATTCTATTTATGTAATGTTCTTGAAATGACAGAATTACAGAAATGGAAAACAGATTAGTGGTTGGCAGGGATTAGAGACGAGGTGGGATGGAAGTAGGGCTGTAAAAGGGTAGCGGGAGGGATCCCCGAAGCTTCCTGCTGCCTGTCCTGTCCCGTCTCCTGCCAGTCAAATGCTTGTACTGCTGGAATGGCCTGCACTGCCCTTAAGAGGGTGTCTGAGCCAACACCACAGCTGAGCATCAGGCAGAGATCATGTGACTGGGCTTGGCTTAGAGTTAGGGACATAAATTCCTGCCAGATGATTCAGTGAGATATAATGCCATTTTAAGCAAGCTGGTCTCACATGGTATGAAAATAATGAAGTTTCCTTTTCCTGACTCACTCTTTTGTTCTCTTCCTCATAGCTATATGCATGTCCCCATTCTCTTCTGTGAATTAACTCCACGGTGACAAGTCTGGAAGAGGGTTCCCCACAGAATTTGGAGTACACATTTGTCATTCTCTTGGCACTCATATACATTTCAACCATGTCAGTGTGATCTGACCTTACAGATTTTCTGAGTAATACCCACCTTGGGACAGAGCCTGAAAACCTGGCCTTGAGTCCTACTGTCAACCATACAATCCCCTTGGCCAGCATGCCCATCATTTCCTATTCCCTTCTTCACCAACTGATAGGATGAAAGGTTATGCCTTTAGTACTCTGGGACTGCTCCTTTAGACCACATGAAGATCATCCTCTGTCCTGCTTTTTCTCCCAGTTCCATGTGGAGAAATGGCTCTGATATGCTTGTTTAGACTCCTTCTAGGGGCACAGATGCAGCAGTCATCTCCTCTACCTGGGCAGCCATGTGCTGCTGCCCTTGGCCTGTGCAATCTCATTGCATGGGAAGGACATTGACTAGAGAAGGGGAAGTTTGCTCCCCTAGGTCAGCCAAGCCCTCTTGATATATGAGGTGGCATGTTGCAGATCAACCTGATATCTAGCAAGGGCCTGGGGCTTGTCATGCTCCACAGACATTGAAGAGCAAAAGGTCTGGAACCAAAATCTGAAGATTCTCCTTCCTTGTCTGCATGTGACTTCAGCAAATTCATCTTTCACTCTCTGTACCTCCCTCTACAAATCAAGGGTAAAGCCATGTCATCACCTACATCAGATGTGGGTGGTATGCATGTTACAGGGGGGAAAATCAAGGCTGAGAAGGAACACCATCCTCTTGTTTGGAAAAAGTGGGAACAATGTTTACAATAGTTCCTTGAAGTCTTTGTCAATTAGAAGTTGCTGGAATGTAGACTCACTGGTTGAGATGGGAGTGGTGGCACCTACAGGTTTACTGGAGGTGGTTGTATTAGTCAGGGTTCTCTAGAAAAACAAAAAATAGGATGTATGTGTGTATCTGTGTATGTAAGTATAAAGATTTATTTTAAGGAATTGGCTCACAGGATTACAGAAGCTGGCAAATCTATAGAATGAGTCACCAAGCAGGAGACCAAAGAGAGCTGATGGTATAGTTCTAGCCTGAGAGTCAGCAGGCTTGAGACCCAGGAAGATCCAATGTTTTATTTTGAGTCCAAAGGCAAGAAAAAAGTCCATGTCCTAGTTCAAAAGCTGTCAGGCAGGAAGATTTCTCTCTTATTCAATGGCGGGGCAGGTCAATATTTTGTACTACTCAGGACTTAAGTGATTGGATGAGGCCCGCCCACATTAGTCTACTGATTTAAATGTTAATCTCATCCAAAAACACCCTTACAGAAACAACCAAAATAATGTTAGACCAAATATCTTGGTGTACCATGGCCCAGTCATGGCTATGATCTGTACTTTGTAAAGGGAACCATGTGAAGAAATGAGATTGAATTGCTAACTAAGCCTTCGTGATTGGAGTAGCATTACACCTGGTTTGAGGCCCAAGCCCACTATTAGGACACTGAAGTCACTAGGCACAAGAGAGGTTGAAAGAGAATTTTCTTTCTTTGGACACAAGACATTGAGCTGAGCTCTGAAAGTTGCTCATTGGTGGAAGACACCATTCACTGAGGAGACCCAAAAACATTTTGTTTTAGGTGTGACTGACCCATCAGCTCTGAGATAGAACAAGCCTGGCATCCCTTGCAAAAGCTGGCAATTTGTTTAAGTATTAACCATAGTCTCATCTCAGTGAGCTCCTCCCAGGTGACAGCACTTTGCAGATGTTGTCACTCTTAATCCTAATAACAATCCTATTAAGTAGGTGGTGGTTTCATATGAAGAAACCAAACCTCAGAGAGGTAGAGGATATTGCCAAAGGTCAGACATGAATGGTGGAGCTTGGGTTCAAATTAAAATCTTTCTGACCCACTGGTCAGCTGCTGGCTCAGAAGAATGGGCATGCCCTGGCCAGCCTGGATGCCTGGGGCCACCTAGCAACATAGGCTCTGCAGAAGCTGTGGCCCAAACCTTAAAAGGGTAACTACTATGGGCTAAATTATGTCCAAAATTATGTCCCCTTAATACTCTTATGTTGAAGTCCTAACCACCAGTATCTCAGAATGTGATCTCTTTTACAGAAGTAATCAAGTTAAAATGAGGTCACTAGGGTGGGCCCTAATCCAATATGATGGGTGTCCTCATAAGGAGAGGAATTTTGGACACAGACATGCACAAGGAATACAATGTGAAGACAGGGAGAAGATGGCATCTATGAGCCAAAGAGAGGGACCTCAGAAGGAGCTAATCCTGCTGGCCTCTTGATCTCAGACTCCAGCCTCCAGAACTGTGAGAGAATAAATCTCTGTTGCTTAAGCCCCCAGTCTGTGGTACTCGTTATGGCAGCCCCAGAAAACTAACAAAGCAAGATTCTCATCAATGAGGGAAGGCAGGGCAAAGGCTTCCCCAGGCATGTGTAGAAGGACTCAGGACCCTCAGAGGGACAACATTTTGAACAAAAAAAATGTTACCAAACTAGGACAGAAATGAGGGCAGCAAGTCTTTAGAGGGACTAACCCTTACTCTGAAACCAAGATTGGGAAATATTAATTGTCACTGTTGAATTTGGCAGCCTTGTTTGACTGGGTCTTAATGTGCTTCCTGGTAGTAGACGAATGGCAATGTGTGTATGTCACCTGATCAATTACTTTGTACCTTTCCAGATGGGTAGTCACGATAATTGGAAGACAATGTGGCCCTTCCTGTTACCATCCCTGGCAAGTGTCATAGAGAGCCATCCTAATTCCCTATCTACTTAACTTGGCACAGTTGAAAGAAGCACTGGACAAGGAGTCTGAAAAGTTGGGTTCTAGTTCAGGTGCTTCAGGTGTGGAGCCCTATCACCATTTCTGAGCATCAGTGTCACCATCTATAAATGAGAAAAATCCTTGTTTCTCTTGACTTCACAGAGGTTTTCTCTCAAATAAGATCATTCATTAATACTATGTTCCACATCCCCTCCAAAAGGATGGTAGGGAATTTGTTATTAAGACACATGAAATAGAATCATCTAAGCAAGCATAAAATAATGGAGTCAAGGAATGAAGGGAGGAGATCATTTTATGTTCTATAGGCATACCTAATTCTGTTGTACTTTATTGTACTTCACAGATGTTGAATATTTTTACAAATGAAAGGCAAGACTACCAAAACGATTATGACTCACTTTATTACAATACTCTTTATTGCAGTGGTCTGAAGCCAAACCTGCAATATCTCTAAGGTATGTCGGTACTATAAAACATGAACTAAGACCAAAATTTATCTTTGAGCATCCAAGAGAAAAATTAAAACACTTTCAAAAACAGGAAAAAGAAAACTATGAAGTTTAAGATACTGCTTTCTCAGTTACTGTACTTTTTTTAAAAAGTAAAGCATTACACAGTATTGAAAATGGTAGTTCTATGCCCTGGCTGATGTGGTTCATTTGGTTGGAGCATCATCCCATAAGCCAAAGGACTGCAGGTTCGATTCCCAGTCAGGGCACACACCTAGGTTGCGTGTTAGATCCCCAGCCCGGGCACATGCAGAGGGGAGCTGGTCAATGTTTCTCTCTCACTCAAATGTTTCACTCTCTCTCCCCCTTCCTTGCTCTAAAAAAGCAAAGGAAAAAATATCCTCAGGTGAGTATTAAAAATGGTATTAGATTTATTTCAATGTGCAGGTTCAAAACATGAAGACTCCATACACTCAGGTTCTAATCTCAAATTTCCTACATTTCTAGAAAGTCTAGAATAAGTGAATTTATCATTAATCTCTTCACAATCACAGTCTCATGTTCTAGGAAAATCTCATAAATTTTTTTCTCTTCCCTTTATAAAAATAGTAGTTATTCTTTTTTTCTAATTATGAAAGCAATGCTTCCTCATAGTAGAAAATGTATAAAATACTAAAAAATGTAAAAAAAAGCATCAAAATATGCATAGTCCTCCCTACTCTTTCCCTTCCAGATAACTGCCATCAACATTTCAATTGATTTCATTCTAATATTTTCCCTATGTCTTTGAATCTCCCAGTTCTTCTTGAACTACAGATTTTGGCTTGCCTCAACCTTAGAAGTTTTTGTTTCAGGTAAACACTGTGTAGGAACACCTAATATTACCAGCTAATCAACCTCTCCTGGACTTGGAGCTCATTTCCTTTAAAAGAAAACTGAGCAGTCTGTTCCTGGTGCCAGCTTCACCTCATCCCACCAGAGGACCTCAAGGCAGGAGCTGCCTCCACAGGGCAGAGTTGTGGACATCTCATCGTGGGCACCCTGATCAACCAATTTCCACTCCAAAAGAGTTCTTTGTGCCAATTGTAACAGACCTGAGTCTAGTGGGAAACTTGGTTCTAAGCTACTATTAACTTCTTTTGCCCAATATTTTTATTTTCTTGGTAAAATTTACCTGGAGGTAAAGTGAGCTTTGAAAAAGGACTCCTCATCACCATCCCACTCCATTAAAAAAAAAAAAGTCTTCACCTATCTGAATTTTCTTGCTCCTTCTTTTCCTGTTTAATTGAGGTATAATTGACATAACATTGTATTAGTTTCATGTGCACAACATAATGATTTGATATTTGTATATATTGCAAAATGATCACCACAATAAGTCTAGTTAACATCCATCACCCTAATGCCAGTGTGTCTAACTGCAGCGGCCCAGGATGGCTATGAATGCAGCCCAACACAAAATTGTAAATTTACTTAAAACATTATGAGATTGTTTTCTTTTCATTAGTGTTTGTGTATTTAACATGTGGCCCAAGACAACTCTTCTTCTTCGAGTGTGGCCCAGAGACCAAAAGGTTGGACCCCCCTGCTGGATAGTTTCTTTGCCCCTTCTTATTTCACTGTTTTAAATTCCACCAACAAGAGAGTCATACAAATTAACACATGCCACTTAAAAATCCCACTCCGAGATAACCTGATCATCAGTCTTTGTGATAGTTGTATTAACCCATGGTTCTTCTCCTCCCATGTGGTATTTGGATTTTTTTCTTTTTGGCAAGACTATATTGTAGGTGGTAATGTATTCTTTCATTCCGAGGTCGATAATGTCTTATGGGTTATTAAGAATTCAGTTCCATTAACTAATTAAAAGCTGCAAAATAGTGATGTTTTTGATTCCTAACAGAAATACTTCTAATAAGAAAAACTACCCCTCATATACTATTCCATTAGCCCTCAGTACAGTTTATATAAGAAAAGCAAGCTAAAGAGCAGGCTGGCCAACAAATCTGTTTAGTTTTTCTATTAAATAAAATACACATTTTTCGTTTTCCCTAATAACTTTATTTTTTTATTGTTGTTGTTGAAGCACAATTGTCGCCACTTTCTCCCTACCACCCTCCCCCAACCAATAACTTTATTGATTTGGATATTTTCAGTATGTCAGTTATCTCCCTTGTGGTATAATGTTGATTGCTCTCAGTTACTGTCTCAATTTGATCACTATCAACTTCACCCTGGTCTACCCAACCATGTAGCATCATCCAGGGAGAAATCTCTAGCACAAAACTTTGCAAACCACTTTGGACACTTTCAGTCAGTCATAGCACCTTCTCCATACACGGCACAAATCTTTTCTTTGCATTTCAGTTGCTTTTTTAAATCTTTCTTGAACTAATAAAGCATAATATGCCAAAAATGTATATTTCCTCCCATCTACCATATAAAATGGCTATAAAAAATTCATCAATTTTGGAGAGGAAAAAGATGGCGGAGGAGTGAAAGGGAGTCACGCTGACCTCCTCCCAAAACCAAACTGGAATTGCAACTAAATAATGGAGTAATCACCTGGAAAGCAGTGGAGCGATAGTGGGAGAGGAGCCTTGGTGCCACGGACAGTGGATTCGACTCTCACACATCCCAACGGGTGAGAATTGTGGTGGAGGCTCAAGAGGGTGGGCTGGGTGCGCACGGGCACTGGCACCAGAGGGACATTGAAACGGCCAGTTAGCGTCCCCCCGAGAAGAACGGGGTCTGAATCATAAACAGGAACCCCTAAACTACAGCAGCTAAAGCTGAGAAAATACAGACAAAACGCAACCCCAAAAAGCTTAGGGGCGCTCTCTGCCAGAGACAGGTGGCTGGGGATGCAAAAAGACATTTAAAGGGCAAACGCAAAAGTTGCAGCGGCAGCCACCCTCCTTGATCGCTGGGTACAGGCGGCAGCAGGGTGGGCTGGTGCCTGGGAAAAGACTGGTGAGGAAAACTTTGTGAAGAGAACTGACACGGCGGCCGGTGGAGCCCGAGTGATATCGCACTTCACACTCTGCAGCTACCATCTCGCTCAGGCATAAGGGAATCAATTAACCTTCCTTTTGTGCGCTCCGCACACAGCTTGTACGCATGTAAGCTGCGGGGCTGAGTGCAGACTGGCTGGGAGAGCCTTGAGGAGAGACTGGAGACAGAGGCGTTGGGGAAAGAACGGGAGGAGGAACCGGGGAGCCCCGACTCCCTCCCCGTTCGGTAGTCTCCATTGTGGGCTGGAAAGGCGCGACCCCAAAGAGGCAGAAGCGGGGTGCGCATGAACCAGACTGCCTGCGATTGAAACACCGTCCGCACAGGGGTTGGATCCCTGGTCGAAGGGGTCACAGAACTGCCCAGAGGCCCCTGAGGGGAGACTAAAAATGGAGGCATTGGGGAAAGAACGGGAGGAGGAACCGGGGAGTCCCAACTCCTTCTCCTTGCCTAGTCTCCATTGCGCAGGAAGAGGCCACACCCCCAAAGAGCCAAAAGCTGAAAAGCAAACATAGACACCCCCAAAACACCCAGAGCAGGCGCGCACACTTGCGCCGAGTGACCGGCGAGGGTTGGCGAGCGTGTGTGTGACCTACGCGGGCTGGCGAACGCTTGTACCTGCCGGCAAGGCCTCACACAGACTGGCACCCATACGGCCTGCGAGGGAGTGCACAGAGGGGCAAGGGCAGGCGTAAATTGACCTACCTGCCGCGATTGCAGAGCAGCCCACAAAATAAGTAGAGCTGCCCAGAGTCCCTGGAGGAGAGACCAGAAACAGGATTAACCGGAGAGTCCTAGAGCTGATTTCTTCCCATTTCTGTAGTCCCCATTTGGCGAGGGCAAGCAACACACCCAAAGAGCCAAGAGTGGGGAAAACACACAATAGAAGACCCTAAACTGACCAGTGCCGCGGAGCTCACCGGCCAGGGAGGCCAGATGAGTACGGGAGGTCGCGAATAAGCCCCCTGGTCTGGGGCAAGCACATGCGAGCCCAGGCAGGTGGGGGACCCTGCCACGCTGGGAATGCGCTCAAGGAGCCCGTGTGAGAGCACAGAGAGATCCCCAAAAATAGCTCAGCCCTGACCGAAGGGGTCACAGAGCTGCTCCAAGCAGGAGTCAGACACAGGCATTAGACTCCTGAAAGACTCAAACAAACAACCCAAGGCTGTATAGGGTCAACAACTGACATCATCAGAGGCAAGCCCAGAAAGAAAAGTAAAGGACAAAAATACTTAACAGACTCTCACAAAAATGGGAAGAAAAAGAAGTTCCCCTCAAATGAGTGGAAAAGGGGACTCCCCACAGAGAGAGCTAAATGAAATAGAGGCAAGGGAATTATCAGATATGGAATTCAAAACAATGGTTCTAAGGAAGCTCAATGAGCTCAGCCAGCTCAAAATAACTATGAGAAACTGCAGAGAAACTATCAGGATCTTACAGCAAACTATATCAGCCTGGAAAAGGACATAGAAACTATCAAGAACACACAAGAGGATATGAAGAATACCATTTCTGAATTGAAGAACACAGTAGAAGGAATCCAAAGCAGGCTGGATGAAGCTGAGGATCGAATCAGTGAGATGGAGGACAAGGTAGAAAAAAGCTCCCAGAAAGAACAAGAAATGGAAAAACGATTCAAAAAGAATGAAGAAGCATTTAGGGAAATGCAGGACAACCTGAAACGCAATAATATCCGTATAATAGGGATACCAGAAGGAGAAGAAGAGGAGCAAGGGATAGAGAACCTCCTCGAAAAAGTAATGATGGAAAATTTCCCTAATTTGAGGAGAGAAAGGTTCTCATGGATCCAGGAGGCACAGAGGACCCCATTCAAGAGGGACTCAAGGAGGTCCACTCCAAGACACATCATCATTAAAATGGCAAATGTCAAAGACAAAGAGAGAATCCTCAAGGCAGCAAGAGAGAAGGAGAAAGTA